AAATCATCTCATGCCAGGAACGGTTGAGGGCCACAAGGCTAACAACACTGCAAACCAGACATGACAGGGCTGATCTCAACGAGACCTGTAAAATACTGAAGTTGGAGTATACTAATCGAGATTCACTTCTTTAAAATGTCGAATACAAAACATGAAAGGGGCATAAGCTTCAAGCTCAACAAGCCACAATGCAGGACAGAAAATTGGAGAGGCTTTGTCTCCTCTCTGAATCTACAAGTGTGTCAGTCTCTCTCTGGTCGAGGTTGGAGGCCAGGCACTTGGGTCTGGCCTCAACCAAACTTGGAAAGGCTTGGGAGGGTCTGGGTCGACCTCTATGCATATGATGGCAAATTACACAAATTTCAAATCTTGCTGAATGCCATCCTCTAAGATGTCTGGACACGTACCATGTGTCCAGAACGATATCAAATGCTTTTTGAAAGTCTATAAAAATGCTTGCTAAATACCATATTACGTTTTCAATAAGATTCCGCTAGTATATATACGCTGTGTGATGATTTAGTACTAGTCTTACGTATGTTATAAACCGTGTGCAGTGGTGATGGTTAGATGAATTAAAAGTGAAGAATTGAGAAGACAATGAAGTGATGATATTCTTTTGATGTGGGCCTCTGGGGACAGGTTCGGTGTGATATCAACCCCCAGATCCTTCTCTCTATTTGATTCTTGCAGGATTTCCCCTCCCAGATGATACCTTGTGTTCAGCCTCCTGCTCCCTTCGCCTAATTTCATCACCTTACACTTTCCAGAGTTGAACTTCAGCAGCCATTTTCTAGACCATTCCTCCAGTTTATCCAGGTCATCCTGTAGTCTCTGCCTATCTTCATCCGTCTTGATTCTTCTCATAATTTTTGCATCATCAGCAAACATCGAGAGGAATGAGTCTATACCCTCTGGAAGATCGTTCACATATATTAGAAACAGGATGGGTCCAAGTACTGAGCCCTGTGGGACTCCGCTGGTGACATCTCGCCACTCTGATGTCTTCCCCCTCACCGTTACTCGCTGTTTCCTGTTGCTTAAGTACTCCCTTATCCACTGGAGCACCTTCCCTTTTACTCCTGCCTGTTGCTCCAACTTTTTTAACAGCCTTTTATGGGGTACTGTGTCGAAGGCTTTTTGGCAATCCAGGAAAATGCAGTCGGCCCACCCTTCTCTTTCCTGCCTAATTTTCGTTGCCTGGTCATAAAATTCTATTAACCCTGTGAGGCACGATTTACCATCTCTGAACCCATGTTGGTGGTGCGTTACAAAGTTATTTCCCTCCAGATGCTCTACGAGCCTTTTCCTCACGATCTTCTCCAGCACCTTGCATGGTATACAAGTTAAGGAAACTGGCCTGTAATTCAGTGCCTCTTGCCTGTCACCCTTTTTGTATATTGGGACCACGTTAGCTGTCTTCCAACTTTCTGGTAAGTCTCCTGTTTCCAGTGACCTGTTATACACCATAGAGAGTGGCACACTTAGTGCTTCTGCACCTTCCTTTAGTATCCATGGTGAGATTCTATCAGGCCCAACAGCCTTTGTCACATCTAGCTCCAGCAGACACCTTTTGACCTCATCACTGGTGAGGTCAAATTCCTCCAAGGTTTCCAAGGTTGCCGCCTCCTCATTTAGTGCAGGGGCTTCTCCTTGTTCTATTGTGAAGACCTCCTGGAATCTCTTGTTGAGTTCTTCACACACCTCCTTGTCATTCTCTGTGTATCTGTTCTCCCCTTTCCGCAGCTTCATCACTTGTTCCTTCACTGCTGTTTTCCTCCTGATATGGCTGTGGAGCAGCTTTGGTTGGGTCTTGGCTTTACTCGCGATGTCATTTTCAAACTGTCTCTCTGCTTCCCTCCTCACTCTGATGTACTCATTTCTGGCCCTCTGGTACCTCTCCCTGCTCTCTGGTGTTCTGTTATTTTGTTCTGTTATTTTGTTTTTGATGTAGATGGAATTCAATTCAAAATCATAAAGGAAATAGCCGGCGAACTGCGCCAACTGATGCTCCTATTCCGAAATTTTCTTGACCACAGGAAACGTCCTCAAGATTGGAAATATACATGTCACCCTTATCATGAAAAAGGCAGAACAATTTCAGCAGAAAATTGTAGACGAGTCAGCCTAACCTCACATATCGTCAAGGTTATGAAGAGAATTCCAATGCAGGACTCGTGGGCCATCTGACAATGCACAATTCTGTAGAATCAACGCGACATGGTTTCTCTAAAAATAAATGTTGCCTTACTAACCTGTTCACATTTTTGCAACGGTATTCAGCAATTCAGACAATGGACTTACAGTACACGTAATGTATAATGACTTCTGTATATCTTTTGATGAGGTTCCATATGAAAAACTGGCAAATAAATTACAAATATGTACTAAATTGTAAAATGCTGAAATGGATAAAACAATGGTTACAACAAAGGAAGCCTAAGGTTGTCGTAAACGGGAATGAATATGACTGGAGAACTGTGGCGAGCGGGGTTCCGCAAGGTTCCGTGTTTGAGCCAACCCTTTGTCATATACATCAATGACGTAGATGAGAATATTACAAACCACGTCATCAGATTGGCGGATGATACTAATATCGATGGTAAAGCAGTAAGCGAAAACGACACAAAAATATATCTACATTAAGTACACAAATGGTCAAAAGACTGACAAATGCAAGATCATTGTTAAAAAAATGGAAGGCCTAGCATGAAGGGCACGACACTGCACACCACAACTATTATATCAGCATCACTACCATGACGCACATTGATGAAGTAAAGGACCTAGGAGTTAGGAGCCAACAGTCATTTAAAGTTACACAAGTAGTGGGCGCCGCAGGAACAAAAATGGAAGAGTTAAACTACCTTTGACTAAAAGGAAAAAAGTGGGTATACATTTGTACAAATCTCTGGTGCGCCTCATCTGGACTACTGCATCCAACCATGGAGTCCTCACCCTCTGAAAGACATGTCTGCTTTGGAGAAAGTTCTACACCGAACCACAAAAATATCCCAGAACTAAATCATCTCATACCAGGAACGGTTGAGGGCCACAAGGCTAACAACACTGCAAACCAGACATGACAGGGCTGATCTCAACGAGACCTGTAAAATACTGAAGTTGGAGTATACTAATCGAGATCACTTCTTTAAAATGTCGAATACAAAACATGAAAGGGGCATAAGCTTCAAGCTCAACAAGCCACAATGCAGGACAGAAAATTGGAGAGGCTTTGTCTCCTCTCTGAATCTACAAGTGTGTCAGTCTCTCTCTGGTCGAGGTTGGAGGCCAGGCACTTGGGTCTGGCCTCAACCAAACTTGGAAAGGCTTGGGAGGGTCTGGGTCGACCTCTATGCATATGATGGCAAATTACACAAATTTCAAATCTTGCTGAATGCCATCCTCTAAGATGTCTGGACACGTACCATGTGTCCAGAACGATATCAAATGCTTTTTGAAAGTCTATAAAAATGCTTGCTAAATACCATATTACGTTTTCAATAAGATTCCGCCAGTATATATACGCTGTGTGATGATTTAGTACTAGTCTTACGTATGTTATAAACCGTGTGCAGTGGTGATGGTTAGATGAATTAAAAGTGAAGAATTGAGAAGACAATGAAGGAAAGGGAAATTGGTGAATAGTACCGAAGGTGGTGGAGGGCAGCGAAGGGGGTGAAGATTAGGGCATACCTACATACCCGTCCGTCAGGTACTGCTTTGCCTAAGTTCAGAGAGTTCAAGTTACTCTAACTTTCCTCTCTATTTTACACGCAAGCTTTGTGTCCAGAACGATATAATTTTTTTTTTAAGTTGGGAAAATGCAGTCTACCCAGCGTTCTTTCTCCTGTCGTATTTGGTGACCTTCTCGGGCTTGCCAGGCCTGAATTTCCCTCTTTAAAATCGTGTTGTCCCTCCATTAAAATGTCCATCATCTCTAGGTGTTCCATCTTTGTTTTGTCCATTTACTTTATTTATTAAAACTTCATTTTTAGCCATTATTTTTCAAAATAAGCATGTTTGTCGACCTTGCAACTTACCAGTAAGTAAGTAGAAAAGTGGAGCCCGAAGAGAGGACAAATTTTGGCCAAAAAGGCAATTATTGCGATTTTAGAGAAAACGTCCTCTCTCTAGCTTGCTGTATGACAGTCACGAAGATACGACATGATATATCTAATATATTAGCATGCTTAGGTCCATACAGGGATTATAGAGTATAGGTCAAAAACTAGCTATGAGTTCATGCAATATCTCCATCTCGCAGGATAGTACATGCATGGAATAAAAAAATATTTGAGTCTAGTCAACTAGCCTGCACTAGCAAACTCTGGGAAGAACATGAGCATTATCTTTCAGTATTCGTGAATGTATGAAGTAGTTACGAAGGTAAAAGTATCCCACGGCACATGACCTGAAATCATCGATAACAAGGCAATCACAAGTACAGTTTTGGAAAGTGTGTTCTAGCTCTTCTTCACAGAGTTTATAATTGGAGTGTTCATTGTTAAAGGATTCATTACCTGCAGCCATCTGCGATAAGTATCGATGTCCAAGCCTAATTCAAACAATTACAATGTCTCACTAGTGGATGTTTTGTGCTGTCCATACAAAAATTATTAGCACTAAACATAACACATTATACTAGAGCTTTCTGCCCGTTGAGTATCAGTTCTCGTTTCCTGAAATAGTGTGGTTTTGACAACAAAGATCGGAATACCGAGACCTAGCTCAGCTTAAAGTTTATGACGTATAGCTTTAGCTGCCGTGTCCATATCACCATGCTGGACAAACCTCTGTAAGATGGAGAAAGAAGGTTGAATCGGCTGCATTTCGTGTGGGGACTTTAGAGGGCGAGGGGAGTGTCGTTACGTGCGAGAGATGGCAAGACGACATTTTTTGGGGGGAGTTTGGGAAGGTGTAGCGAGGTGTGGGAAGGTGTAGCGAGGCGCACTGGAGTGTGAGGTTACTCTCGAAGTAAACATGTTTTCTCTCCGCAGGCCGACATGGAGAACGACCAAGAGTCTCCACTGCCGCCCTTCGAAGGCTCAGGAGAGGATGATATGGACGGCATGCCCCCGCCGCCGCCAATGCCGCCCTTGCCGCCGCTTCCCCTGCCACCAGGTACGCCGCCTGCTCACTTGCACACGAGAACGATGCAGTAGGTAGGGGATACAAGACATGTTGGAGCCCTTGGTAACAGCTCGTGTAGATCCAGGAACAAGCGACGTAGGTTCAGGAGGAGGTGATGCTGCAGGTTCTGACTCTGCATAGGAATGTGTTAAAAATTAGCAGTTTGAAAATACCTGAAAAATATTCAAATTAATGAATTGCTCTTTGCTTCACTTTAATTAGAAAGTTTGGTTATCTTGGTAGAATGTTATCGCTTGTTTTCCCAGTACTTGCCTAACAGTGACCATGTGAGAGCGAGGTCTAGCTCTTGGAGCCCCGCCTGCTACTAAACGTATAGAATTTGGTGCATATTTCTTTAGTTTTCTTTCAATTTTTCATTTATGACCTTAAAGCTGTGGATGGAGGTGGCTTCCACGACACCATCTTTCGCTGTATTCAACGTCTTAAGAGATTTTTTTTACATTTCACCGACTCGTATTTTGAGCCTCTTCATATGTCCTCTTGGGCTATAATTCCTAAAATCAAAGAGGATGTATTTATCCACTTTGTCTATTCCTCTCAGTACCGTTTATGTTGTATAATCGTGTGCCCTTTGTTTCTTACCTCCTTGAAGGTTGTGTGAGTTAGTTCACTTAATCTGTCCTTGTATCTTTGAGCCGGCATTTCGTATTTTAGAATTAGCCTCACTTTTTATGTATAAATTGTCTTGAAAGAATGTCTGTTTTGGTTTATAAATGATCTAATGTTCGATAGCTTCTCATATAGTGCAGATGTTACCCCATTTGTGCGCCTCTGGTGGTAATTGCTTGAATTATATCCACTCCAGATCTTGTTCAGTAATAACCTTGTCATTATGGTGTATATTCCTACATGTCTCAACCTTTCCCATTCTCATTACCTTGCACTTGTTGGGTTGACGTCGTAACAATCGGTGTTGTGACCACTCCTGTAGGGTGCCAAGGTCTTGCTGTCATTCTCTCTGCAGCTTTTACATTTCTCATTACTTTTCTGTTCTCTGTAAACACTTGTATAGTCATGCTGCCTTGTCGTTCTCTCCCAACATTATTTCTTTATTTCTGATCAGGGGGGGAAAAAGACACCAACAGCATGGGGGCCTACTTATTTATTAGCCTATTTATCTTGTATATAAATAAATTAGTAGAACAAGTAAATATCTTCTGCAGAACATGTTAATGAAGCGGCTATAACTTGTATGTTTTACAATTGCATAACAGACATGTATAACTTTGAGTACACTACATCAACTTAAGTTAAGCCCCGTAATAACATTAATACAGTATGCTTATAGCCGGGAACTAAATAAATCAAGATCTGCACACCGAATACTTATTATCTATGAGTAAAGGTAAGGCAAATGCATAACATATTTGTCATGGAGAATCGGGGCATTTGTCAAGCGCGGGTTGGACAAGTATATGAGTGGGATTGGGTGGTTATAGATAGGAGCTGCCTTGTATGGGCCAATAGGCCTTCTGCAGTTACCTTTGTTCTTATGTTCTTATTTAGAGTAGCATATATAATGCCTAAACACGTAACATTTAATAATGCCCCTGTACAAGCGCCCCGAAAAGACATAATGTAAATTCCTAATGAATTAGTACGTAAATTAACCAGTACATGCAGAATATACATGAAGGGTAAAATTAACATTACTCCTACAAGTCAGAGGAGGTAGCTGCAGACAGCGGAACACTTAGGGGCCGGCGCTGCACCCCCACTCCGCAAGGCCAGCAGGCCGGACCCCCCCCCCCTCCCCCCCCCCCTTCCCCCCCCCCCCCCCCCCCGAAGGGCAAGTGCCCGCTGACCGCGAGAGGAGCGTCAGCGTGGAGGGGCGATGACTTCTTGCCTGACGTAGGGGGCCGGGCCACCAGGAAGGGCGTCGCCGCGGGTTCTGCGTCGCGGGGCTTCATATAGTTTTCCTTGTCTGCGTCTACATCCGTGCCCGTACACCCGTTACTTCTGCCGTTAAAAAAGGCAGGATTTCCTGAACTGAAAAAAGGTACAGCGTCGGGCATACGTGGCTGGTAAATGCTGCTAGGTAAGCGGCATCCGGGAAGTGACCAATGGAGCACGACCTATTGCATGGGTAGGCAAGGTGGGCGTCGTGTTGTCTGTGTGAAGTGGGCATACTAGGACGAGTGAGTCGTCCTCGTGGGCGTCGACGTCGCTGTATGCCGCCCTCGCAGAGGCTAGCCCCAGGGCGGGTGAGTAGGGCCTGCGTGTGCTCATCCGTGCATTCCGTCGAGTGTGTTCCTCGGGCGCGATCCAATGTTCGTCGTCCAAGAGGTGTTCTTCGGTGGTCTGTAGTCGTTCTGGAAACATTACGGCAGTATAAGAGTTGGCAGGGGTGGGCATGTGGCATAAGTAGGACAGTGTGGAGAAGCCGGGCCTTTAGAAGACTTGCTTAGGGAAGAAAATAATCAACTGCATGGAAGTAGGTGCCTAGTGAGTGCCTTACATGTAAACAATAAGTAATGAAGAAAGGACAACCCCCTCGACAAGAACAGGGATACAAGAACCAGCAACAAAGGGAAAAAGGAGGTCTGCACAGTAGACTAACAATTAGCGGGTAAATTAGCACACGTCATGGAGGGAGCTGTAGCTAACTCAAAGCGATAGTAAAGGCATAGCTAACTCCATTAAAGTACTGGGAAGAGTTTCCCGCATGGATGCCATTACTTGCGAGAAGTGAGTCCGGGAATAAGTTCATTAGTTGACGCTAGAAAATTCGCCCCAGCTATCGTGCCCGAAGGTTTAAGATAGGATTCAGAACGCAGCGTAGCCGCGGGAGTGTGTGTATTCACCTAGTTGTGTTTGCGGGGGTTGAGCTTTGCTCTTTCGGCCCGCCTCTCAACTGTCAATCAACTGTTTACTAACTATTTTTTTTTTCTCCACACACACCCCAAGAAGCAGCCCGTTACAGCTGACTAACTCCCAGGTACCTATTTACTGCTAGGTAACAGGAGCATTCAGGGTGAAAGAAACTTTGCCCATTTGTTTCTGCCTCGTGCGGGAACCTCGTGCCTCGTGTGTGTAGCCATAATGCTACACACACTCGCGTCACATACTTGCACTGCGTGCCTGCATGTGAGGAGCATGCAAGGACCAAATTCAGACACGTGTGAAATTAAACGCCCCCGCAAACCAACCGAACAGGGCTACTTGCAAGAAGAGAAATACAATAAAATGTCAAGTAATGTATGTTAAATAGTAAATGATGATAAATTAAATAATGTATTATAAATACAACACTGATGTTGCAGTTAATCAATAAAATGGGCAATATCACAGTTGGGGGGCCAACCTACACCTTAAGGCCACTGCTGGAGGTTTAGTCTGGAACAAAACGCATGGAAGTGAAGCTGTGTGTAACTGCCAAGTATGAAGAAAACCTTAATAATAAACGGATAGAGTAGAGGCAAGTCCACAAGTCCAGTGGATGTCGGCTACCTTGGAGAGAACTAAGGCGTGCTATTATGCTCACCCTTAGCGGCAGGAACTGAAGGTAAGAAATGGGTGGGCTACCGTAAACCGGTAGCACCGGGGACGTAAGCTGCAACGCCCAGGCAGTCGAGCCGAAGTGATCTGAACAGAGTTTTTGGGAAAAGAACACTAGGCTAATTTAAGTGATGACAGTCGGATAACACTCCCCAGTCGAGGACACCGCGGGTAAGGCAGACCGCAACCAACGCAAAGCTGTGGTAAATGCCTTTTATTGCCTATTATTTTTAAGCCTGAGGAGATAGGGTACCCAAGCCGGATCCCAAGGAAAAAGGGCAAATTCGTAGGATGTATAGGAAGCGGTCGGAGATCAGGTGGGACAGTCCGGCTTTGACTTGCGAAGCGGTGCGTGACGGGAGCAGGAGAGAGCGCATGACCGACCGACCGACCGACCGACCGATTGATTGATTGATAAAGATTAAGCCACCCAAAAGGTGGCACGGGCATGAATAGCCCGTAAGTGGTGGCCCCTTTGAGCCATTACCAGTATCAATAGATGATACTAGAGGTCTGTGGAGGTGCGACTGCACTCTGCGTGACGGGAGATGTCTCCCGTGAGCGCATGACCGATTGATGAAGATTAAGCCATCCAAAAGGTGGCACGGGCATGAATAGCCCGTAAGTGGTGAGCGCATGACCTCTCCTTCTCCCTTTATATAGGCCCCCTTTGCGCTGCTCACACAGCGCCTGCGGATCGCGCTGTGCAAATGTCTTTCTTCCCCATCAGAAAATCCTCCGCTTTCCTGCGTAATGCAGTGGTCATTTCTCTGTAAACGTGGGCATGTATACGTGTGGCTCGCTGCCCTGGGTATGGTGGGGGTGTTGTCTCGGGGGTATATCGCTGAATGTACTTGTGTTGAGTTTGCAATTAAATTGTTCCAGGAAAAAAATCATTGCATTTTTTAATTGGTATTGGGACTAAGGCCTAACAACCGCTGGGGAATATCAACGACCACATCAATAACATGCTGACCAACTAACAAATACACTTTAGGCCTAAACATACGCCAGGCCTAAAGTAATGTGTATGTACATCGGGAAGCACAATATGCCTGAACAAATCCCCAAGGGCCGTGACGAGGATTCGAACCTGCGTCCGGGAGTATCCCCAGACACTGCCTTAATCGACTGAGCTAAGACAGGGTTTAACCCTTGTGGATTTGTTCATTTGATGCATCACCTTAGTGTGATCTGTGTGTGTCACAATATGCCTCAATTGATTGATGAAGATTAAGCCACCCAAGAGGTGGCACGGGCATGAATAGCCCGTAAGTGGTACAATTTTTTTTCTCAGTATTCTGAGGTTGCATTTAACCATCAAGCTGTTATCGCGGGGGAGGATACTGCTTCACAGTCTTTATAAGGATGTCCAGCTGCTGGACACCTTTGTTGACCAGGAGAGTGGCTGTGTTGATGGCTTCAGGGTGGCCACTGCATGATTCAGAAACTCTTTAAGCTCTTCTAAGGTCATTGGTTGCTTCACATTCCAGAAGATAGTGAAGTAATGGCTTTTCTGTGACAGTTTGGCAGAAGACAATATGCCTCTCTAGGTGTGTGTGTGTATATATATCCCTTGACTGTAACTGTAGAATATACATACGTAATTTAACCTTTTCTCTGTTTTCCTGTATTTTAATATAGGTACAATTTATAAAAAAAATAGTGACAATGCTGACAATTAACATGCCATATTTTATTTGTTTCTCTCTAATAAAAAGGTAAAAATCTGACTACTTTTGTTTACCCCTCACTGCCTGCAGGGCGACGGAGGAAAGGTAGTGTTGTGTGGTGCCGGGGGGGGGGGGGCCTCACTGCCTGCAGGGCGACGGAGGAAAGGTAGGTGTTGTGTGGTGCCGGGGGGGGGGCCCTCACTGCCTGCAGGGCGACGGAGGAAAGGTAGGTGTTGTGTGGTGCCGGGGGGGGGGGGAAGGTAGGTGTTCTGTTATAATTACTTTGTGTTGATATAATCATGTATTGGCTTGTGCATTTTCTTCTGATATATCTTAACCGCCTACTTGATGTTACCTAAGACGCGCCATCTTTTTAGTGGCCACGATTAGGACAGGAAGCCGGCTGCTTGTCGAAGTTCCCCCCCCCCCCAAAAAAAAAAAAAAAAACTCGTGTGCAAATATATTAACTCATTATATAATTATAAAGAAAAGGCTTAAACACAGTGGTTCATATTTGCAATAATATTTGCGGGTTGCCTCTCTGATGCCTCTCTTCACCTAGAAGTAAAATTGGATCCCTGGAGTTAGAATCTGATGTGGGTTGCATCCTGGGATGGTCAGTAGATAGCTTGGGGGGGGGGGTTGATCCGCGTGTGCCGGCTACCTGTCCCCGACGACAAGAATTACGTAAATGGTTCCAGCTGGCATTTAATTACCCTACAACATGTTGTTCTTTCCCTGCAGGGTTCCCGCACCAGGGCCCCAAGGGCGAGAAGGGCGAGGCTGGCCTACAGGTAGGTACCTCCAGGGGCACCCCCTTACCTCCTCACACAATGTACTGGTGTGTGTACACCAGGCTGTGTGACCATGTGTGTGTACACCAGGCTGTGTGACCATGTGTGTGTACACCAGGCTGTGTGACCATGTGTGTGTACACCAGGCTGTGTGACCATGTGTGTGTACACCAGGCTGTGTGACCATGTGTGTGTACACCAGGCTGTGTGACCATGTGTGTGTACACCAGGCTGTGTGACCATGTGTGTGTACACCAGGCTGTGTGACCATGTGTGTGTACACCAGGCTGTGTGACCATGTGTGTGTACACCAGGCTGTGTGACCATGTGTGTGTACACCAGGCTGTGTGACCATGTGTGTGTACACCAGGCTGTGTGGCCAAGAGTGTACTAGTGTACACCAGGCTGTGTGGCCAAGAGTGTACTAGTGTACACCAGGCTGTGTGGCCAAGAGTGTACTAGTGTACACCAGGCTGTGTGGCCAAGAGTGTACTAGTGTACACCAGGCTGTGTGGCCAAGAGTGTACTAGTGTACACCAGGCTGTGTGGCCAAGAGTGTACTAGTGTACACCAGGCTGTGTGGCCAAGAGTGTACTAGTGTACACCAGGCTGTGTGGCCAAGAGTGTACTAGTGTACACCAGGCTGTGTGGCCAAGAGTGTACTAGTGTACACCAGGCTGTGTGGCCAAGAGTGTACTAGTGTACACCAGGCTGTGTGGCCAAGAGTGTACTAGTGTACACCAGGCTGTGTGGCCAAGAGTGTACTAGTGTACACCAGGCTGTGTGGCCAAGAGTGTACTAGTGTACACCAGGCTGTGTGGCCAAGAGTGTACTAGTGTACACCAGGCTGTGTGGCCAAGAGTGTACTAGTGTACACCAGGCTGTGTGGCCAAGAGTGTACTAGTGTACACCAGGCTGTGTGACCAAGAGTGTACTAGTGTACACCAGGCTGTGTGGCCAGAGTGTACTAGAGTGTATTCACCAGTACATATAACTACGGTTGCCAAGCTCTGCCTCGCCGAGAGTCGAACCCTAAAACCAGCAGACAGTTGACATCCTTCCCCATCGCCCGTTGTTTCTCATGATTTACAACAGTCATTCCGATACTTATGTCAATTAATAATGAAGTCATAATTTACATAAAACCCAAACTGAAGTTCGAAATATAATTTAAAGTGATGCTTAAGAGGACAATAACAGTATGTGCAATCCTGCTGAGATTATTAAGGTGTAATCTCCTCCTTAGGGACCCCCTGGAAAGTCGGTAGCAGGCCCCCCAGGGCCCCCTGGCCCCCCTGGCAGAGCATACAGTCCTGACATGCCTGATTATGGCTCTGGTGATGGAGAGAACGACATGGTGAGTCTTGCTTCCCAAATGCGTTCATAGATTCATTCAGTATATCCTATAGTAAATAGACCTTAATCTTCAGTTTAGCTATTTAGCGCTGTAATCTATTTACTGTGTAGCCAGAGTAAGATGTAAAGTTTATTATTTTGCTTGAGCTGGCAACAAGCTGGCCGCCAGCTAGCATGAAGCCAAGCCTGCATGCAATGGCTTCCCACTGTTGCAGTCGGTGCAGTTTGGCGAGGGAGCGCGAGGCCCTCCTGGACCCCCGGGAGAGTGTACCTGCAACGTGACCACACTGGTTGCCAACGTCCTGGCAAAGTTGCCCAAGGGACTCCCTGGCCCCGAAGGTCCCGCAGGAAGAGACGGAGTCCCCGGGACCCCAGGTACATCGGGGCAGCCAGGACCTCCAGGGGAACGCGGTCTCGAAGGACCCTCGGGCAGTAAAGGAGACAGAGGAGACCCTGGCAGCCCAGGTAAGTGGAGTCCCCGGGGCACACGCCCCTCAGTGAGTACTCTTGTCGTCGGGTTCTCGTCTTGTATCACAATGTAACTTTATTATCATGCCAAATAAGTGACCGATATTTAATGCATGGAGAGTGTAGTATAGTCTACTGTCTCTACATAAAAAAAAAAAACTATTTCCTTTTTGAGTTGCTAACGTAACATCATGTAGACATGGATTAATATTTTATTGAATATATCTATACTTTTTATACTGTTGTAACTAAGCAAGGATTAACTAAATGCAGTTGTCTATGTCTAGGCCCAGAGGGAATGCAGGGCCCTAAAGGCGAGTCTGGTGTAGATGGGGCCCCAGGGCTTCCAGGAGAGCGGGGACCTCAGGGCCCACCAGGACCCCCAGGCTGGGGCAATGCTGGCTTCGATGTAAGGCTTCAACCTTAATTATTAAGGAATAATAATTATAGTCTGTGTCTGTGTCTATCTGTGTCTATCTGTGTCTATCTGTGTCTGTCTGTCTGTCTGTCTGTCTGTGTCTGTCTGTCTGTGTCTGTCTGTCTGTGTCTGTGTCTGTCTGTCTGTCTGTCTGTCTGTCTGTCTGTCTGTCTGTCTGTCTGTCTGTCTGTCTGTCTGTCTGTCTGTCTGTCTGTCTGTCTGTCTCTGTGTCTGTCTGTCTCTGTGTCTGTCTGTCTCTGTGTCTGTCTGTCTCTGTGTCTGTCTGTCTCTGTGTCTGTCTGTCTCTGTGTCTGTCTGTCTCTGTGTCTGTCTGTCTCTGTGTCTGTCTGTCTCTGTGTCTGTCTCTGTGTCTGTCTCTGTGTCTGTCTCTGTGTCTGTCTCTGTGTCTGTCTCTGTGTCTGTCTCTGTGTCTGTCTCTGTGTCTGTCTCTGTGTCTGTCTCTGTGTCTGTCTCTGTGTCTGTCTCTGTGTCTGTCTCTGTGTCTGTCTCTGTGTCTGTGTCTGTCTCTGTCTGTCTGTCTCTGTCTGTCTGTCTGTCTGTCTGTCTGTCTGTCTGTCTGTCTGTCTGTCTGTCTGTCTCTCTCACTCTCACACAATTTTTTTTCATTATCATTTTTTCAGGCCTCATTTTCAGGCCTCATTTTCAGACGGACATAGTTGCTCTGGAGAAGGTGGAACACCAGGCAACAAAAGTCATTCCAGAGCTAAGTTATCACTTGTATCAGGAACACTTGAAGACCACAGCGCTAACAACAATGCAAACCATGCATGACGGGGTGGATCTCGTTGAAACTTTTAAAATACTGAAAAGTTAGAGGATGTTGATCTGGATATTTTCTTCAGAAGGTCTGGTGTAACTCAAACACGGAACAACGGTTTCAAGCTCAACAAACCACAATGTAGGACTGATAACAGGAGATGCTCTTTCACCCACAGGGTTATTAACCCATGGAAGTGCCTACCTGCCTAAGCCATAAGTGCCAAAATTATGCCGAGTTTCAAAATATACCTGGAAAAGATCTTAAGGCAAATAGGGGGAGGAGGAATCTTTGACAAGTCGAGGGGTAACTTTTACCCCTCCTGCGGTTCCTGTTCCTCTTCACCACCTCCCTCTTTCTGTCTGGTTATCTCGCTTACAGGATTCTCTTTCAGTTTTTATTTCTAATATTTCTACTCGTGTTCCTTCTTTGCCCCCGTGGAGAGTCCCCCCTTCATCAGTTTTGTACATCCTTAACCCGCATCACTAAAGCTTTTACCCCCTCCTACGTTTCTAAAAACGCCTTTTCCTTGCGCACTTTTCTTCACTCCTGCTCCGTTTCCATCTTCACTGATGGGTCTAAGTCTGCGGACGGTGTAGGCTACTCTGTTGTTTTTCCTGGTTGCACTTACAGTATATGTGTCGCTTACCTCCGGAGACTAGCATCTTCACAGCGGAACTTTATGCTATTCTCTATGCTCTTCGTCTCCTGCTTTCTCGTTGTCAATCTTCCTTTGTAGTTGTTGTTGACTCTCGTAGTGCCCTCATGGCTCTCGGATACTTTAATCCGGTTCATCAGTGGTTGTCGAGATCCAGCATTGGCTGTTTCTTGTTGACAGTAAATTTTAGTCGGTTGAGTTTTGTTGGGTTCCCAGCCATATTGGTGTCATTTTAAATGAGCGTGCAGATGCTGCCGCCAGGGAAGCTGTCACTCTTGTCCCATCTCTCGTAAAGGTATTCCTTATTCCAACTTTTACCCGGTTATCCATTCCTCCATCCTTACTCGTTGGCAGGCTTGTTGGTCGTCTGTTACTGGTAAAAAAAACTGCGTACTCTTAAGAGTTGTGTGTCCTTGTGGCCGTCCTCCTACCACCGTAATTACGGGCGATGGGAAACGGCTCTGGCAAGGTTGCGTATAAGCCATACTCACTTAACTCATGGTCACTTGATGGAGCGCCGCCCTGCTCCTTATTGTCCAAATTGCATTGTCCCTCTTACAGTCGTGCATATCCTTGTTGAATGTCCTGACTTCCGGGACGAGCGTGTCTTGTTTTCCGACCGTCCCCCGCAGTCGCTTGTCCCATGATAGTTCAAAAAAATTCAAAAAATTCAAAAATTCAAATGTTTATTCAGGTAAAAACATACATACAAGAGGTTTTACAAAAATTGATAGATTTATAGATAGAGCTAGTACATACAATGCCTAAAGCCACTATTACGCAAAGCATTTCGGGCAGGAAAAACATTAAAGACTAAAACTTAATACTAATTGAGATTAAAGTATAAAATGTGTTGAGAACAAATAAAAATAAAAAAGGGGGGAACATAGCAGAAAAAACAGCACAAATACAATTACAGTAGGTCGACAAACAGCGTTGTTTAAAAAATAAGACATAGGTTGACAATATAGGGGTAAGGTAGGTTACAGGGAATTTATTAGGTATAGCTTCGTTTTTATCTTAAACTGGTTGAGAGAGGTACAGTCTTTCCTTGGTGATATTTAGCGCCCTCTGATTATCCCGCACATTTGATGGTGCTACATAGCCTTCCTGGTTTGGTGCCTTCTTTTGATAATTACTTACATGCCGAGGTTGTCTACACACTTGTAAGTATTGTCACAACAGTAAACACACCATATCTGATATAGGGTTACATTAATATATGTTTTTATGCAACGATGTCGAGACACAGTAAACCGTATGATAAAGCTGTAGATAGCCTAATTCCTGGCAGAGCGTCAGATCGAGACTGGCAGCCTGCGGTGAGGCTGTATGCTCAGATGTTCGTCTGATGTGGCAGCTGGTCCGAAGCAGGTAGTGGCTTTTATTGTACTTATCTGACCGTCATATTCTCTTTGCATAAATAAAATATTATTCTTATTCAATTATTGATGTTGATACAGCGATATCGTGGCTGATCTTGGTACAAAGCAGATATGGCGAGACTTGCTATCAGGGCTGGTGTAGCGGATACAGCACATGTACTATATTATGCCTATTGTGTGGATTTGGCCTTGGAATGCTTATTTAGGCATAGGAAAAGTTTGACCAATAGTTGCTACAAGTATTATAATTTTTGGAGGCCAAGTTGGAAAAGGCCTCTTGCAATTTTTTTCATGTTTGGTCTGCACAAGGATGTGTGCTATGGTATAAAACTGGCGCAACAATCCCACATGTGAAAAATTTACATAAACACAGATTTTTTTTATTAAATTCATATAATGGTGAGATTTATAGGTAAGCTTATCTGATTGTGTTATCTGAAGAAGTGCATCAGGGCCGAGTGGCATCATAGGTTGTAAGAGGTCAATTGATTTTACTGTCAGAACACTCAAGTATTCATGCACAGCCTTGTTTTCTATGCAGCCTATGTGGAAACCTCGCACCATGTTCAAGGTAACCTCACGAGTTTTTAATTTTCAATATTTAATTAACATCTGTTAGCCATTATTAAAGGATAATTGTACAGGGCCTACGACAACCAAATACCCATATCAATCAAACCAAATAATAAACATTTCCCCTCTTTTTTCCAGGCTCGGGGAAATCCCTATAGATGGAAATAAAAATTTTACATTATTAATGTCGTCTGTGCCCTATGTGAACCATTTGAACTTTGATATTCAAGTACCTTAATATAAATCAAATTTACCAGAGATAATGTTTCTAAAATCATGTACATGAGGAAATTTGCTTCTAAAACAATGGAAATCATACATCAACGAATATCTTTGTACACTGTACGATATATAAAAAAAACTTTATAGGCTGGTGCAGTGTTCCCTCCTCAGGTTGATGGTGGTCTAGCAGTGGCACCAGCCCGACCAGGGACACCAGGGACGCCTGGGGAGAAGGGAGAGCAAGGTGCTCCAGGCCCTCGAGGCAGTCGGGGCTACCCAGGCGCCAAGGGGGAGAGAGGCAACACTGGCAGAAAGGGAGACAAGGGAGAGAGGGTGAGGCTCTACTGTTCTTACAGCAACCATCATCATATTTGGCAAATTTTGCATCTATTTTTGTCCTAGACTATAATATTAATAAAACTGTGCTCATGTGTATGTGTACGCGAGTACACAACTGGGTATATAATATAAATCAATAAGTAAAACTGGGTATATAATATAAATCAATAAGAAAGTAACCACAATGATTACCAAAAATGAAAGGGCAAATAAACACAATGTGCCAAAAAGTGCAACTGGGACAAGAACCAGGTAAACCAAACCAGGTAAACCAAACCAGGTAAATAGTCCCCAATACATATGCTAATACACACCTGGCTGGAACTGGCTAAGAGAGGACAGCAATGAGGCAGTTGTAGGTAAGGTACCAGAGGGAGAGGAACACAGTTGGTAAGCAAGTTGAGCAGAAATAATAAGACGAGATGTTTATTCAGGTAAAGGTACATTGAAAATGGGTTACAAACATAATGTTGGATGATGAAGGGAAAAGTTGCAAAAACTGACATCCAAATTGACTCCAATTGTAATAATAATAATAAATTATTAATAAAAAAATATACAAAATAATAACACACTGGTTTAATAATTGTTACAAAGTACTGTACATTAAATGTTAAAATATTGTAGTAATCATATGCCAGCATACGTATTTGTTTTTCAAGAGAAATATGGCATGGAGAGATGTTAGTGTGTTTACTACTCCAACAGGGACTCCCAGGACTGGATGGAAACTCTGGGCCCAAGGGCGAGCCAGGAGCACCAGGAATGAATGGAGCACCAGGGCCTCCAGGGTTTGATGGAGTGGCAGGCCAACAAGGTGCTCAAGGCAAGAAAGGTATGGAATATATATTAAGGGTCTCGGTAATAGAATTGGGCTCATTCTTGACTCACAATTGGGACTACTAGGTTCAAATCCTGGGCAGGGCAAAAATGGTTGGGCACACTTCCTTTGACCACAAGCTGAATTTCCAGGGACACATTCTAAATATATCAAAAAAAGTTTCAAAAACTGTTGGTATTCTTTCTAAGATCAGATATTATGTATCTCGCCCTGCCCTGGTGACACTATTACTCTCTCATCTATCCTCATCTCAACTATGGTATTTGTGCTTGGGGTTCTACTACCCAAAATCATTTACGTCCTATAATTACCCAACACAAAGCTGCTATTAGGACAATCTCTAACTCTGGCCCCAGACATCACTCGGTACCCTTATTCAAATCTCTGAATGTTAGATATTAAGTCACTACACATCCTCTCATGTGTATTTTATATGTATATATATTTATACACCTAGAATAGCCTAGATACTGGCTAGAATAAAGCCTAGATACTGGCATTATTCCTGATATACTAAAAACAGCAGAGATAGCACCACTTCATAAAGGAGGAAATAAGGCAGAGGCAAAAAATTAGACCGATAGCACTAACATCGCACATCATAAAAATTTTTGAGAGAGTGCTAAGAAGTAAGATCACAAAATACATGGAATCACAGCATCTCCATAACCCCGGACAACATGGTTTCAGAACAGGGCGCTCTTGCCTGTCGCAGTTGCTGGACCACTATGATATGGCACTAGATGCTATGGAAGACAAACAAAATGCTGATGTAATTTACACAGATTTCGCAAAAGCTTTTGATAAATGTGACCATGGTGTTATTGCACATAAAATGCGTTCAAAAGGAATTACCGGAAAAATAGGCAGATGGATCTACAATTTCCTGACCAACAGAACCCAATGTGCAATAGTCAACAAAATAAAATCCAGCCCATCAACCGTGAAGAGCTCAGTCCCCCAGGGTACTGTGCTTGCTCGAGTACTTTTTCTCATCCTCATATCGGACATAGACAAGAACACAACCTATAGCACTGTATCATCCTTTGCAGATGACACTAGGATCTTCATGAGAGTAGGCAATATAGAGGACACGGTGAACCTCCAGTCAGATGTAGATCAGGTCTTTCTATGGGCTACAGAAAATATGGTGTTTAACGAAAATAAGTTCCAGCTCATGCGCTATGGAAAAAATGAAAATATAAAAACGGAAACCACGTACAAAACTCAGGCAAATCATAACATAGAACGAAAAGGCAATGTAAAGGATCTGGGTGTACTCATGTCGGAAGACCTTACCTTTAAAGAACACAATAAAGTAGCCGTCACAACTGCAAGAAAAATGACAGGTTGGATAACAAGAACTTTTCACACTAGAGATGCTATACCGATGATGATACTTTTCAAAACGCTTGTGCTCTCTAGAGTGGAGTACTGCTGCACAATGACAGCACCTTTCAAAGCTGGAGAAATTGCTGACCTGGAGAGCATGCAGAGATCCTTTACTGCTAGAATCCACTCAGTAAAACATCTAAACTATTGAGACCGACTAAAGAGCCTAAAACTGTACTCCCTTGAGCGCAGGCGGGAGAGGTACATAATAATTTACACGTGGAAAATATTAGAGGGGCTGGTCCCAAACCTGCACACAGAAATAACATCACATGAGACCAGAAGACATGGCAGGATGTGCAGAATACCCCTGTTGAAAAACAGAGGTGCAACAGGTACTCTGAGAGAGAACTCTATCAACATCAGAGGCCCGAGACTGTTCAACACGCTTCCACTACACATAAGGGGCATAACTGGCCGACCCCTCACAGTGTTCAAGAGAGAACTGGATAAGCACCTCCAAGGGATACCTGATCAACCAGGCTGTGACTCATACGTCAGGCTGCGAGCAACCGCGTCCAACAGCCTGGTTGATCAGTCCGGCAACCAGGAGGCCTGGTCTTTTTAGGTCCTACCCAGAAGTAGTCAGGGAGTTTAAATATCTGGGCTCAGTAATTGACAAAAGATAATTGCATGCAGGGGAGGTCAAGAATTGATTACATTAGAGAAAGATAGCTGCTGTACAATGAAACCACTAATTCAGGAAGAAGTAGCTGCAGCAAGAAGTAATAGTGTTTATCTTTAAGTACAAATGCAAGACACTAGCATGAAATGAACATGGAAAATCAAAATTAAGAGCTGCTGAAATTGACAATCTGAGATGAATTTGTGGTTTTAGGAGGAGGTTACCTCCTAAAGGAGAGAAAAGGTAATGGAATTCTAACTGAAAGATGTAGAGTACAAGTGTGAGTAATGAAACACCGGCGCCTGAAACAATGTCAAGTTTCAGGTGCTGGTGGCTGTGTGGATAGCACGTTGGACACATGATCCTGTGGCCCGAGTTCGATTCCTGGCACCGGCGAGAAACGATGGGCAGAGTTTTTTCACCCTGATGCTCCCGTTACCTAGCAGTAAATAGGTACCTGGGCGTTAGTCAGCTGTT